CAGAAGGATCGCCCTGCACTTGGCCGCCATTGTTATATAGGCTTATACATCGAGTTAAGCCCATTTAGGAGGCAAACCTATGAACCACGACACAAGCGGCCAAGCAAACAATGCCGGAAAAAAGAATCAGCTTCTGCAAGTCTGACTGGAGTCCATCTCACTTGGCATGCTGGGTGCCAAGACCACCGCGCTGTTGATTTCCCTGTGAACCAGCCTCTTAAGGGGTGCTCGAAAAAAGCATCGGCTCAGCGCACCTTCGTCAAACTGATTTTTTCGGGTTCAATTGTTGATAACAAGTAGCCTGCCGAAGAGCAAGACAATTCCCCCCCCCCCGACTCTTTTCTCAGCTCAAAAGGTAGTGTGTGAAAAGCGACAGGGTACCACTTAGAGAATTTCTATGCTTCATGCCCCAGCCCCCGCCCCCCCCCCCCCCCCCACACCACCTTCGATTTTTGCAAGTTGCAGGTTGGACCGTCACGCGTTCAGCTCCAACCATGCGGGCGCAATTCAAAGGACCTGGAACGCAGGCGGCAAAGAGAAGCACTTGCAGTGCGCATCTCTCTCCTTCGCGCCCTGAGCCCGAGCGTTCCGACCAAACACATGAGGTAAGGCCACTAAAGTGGCTCAATAAGTCTTTTCAGAGGGCAAGGTGGCCAAGTTTCTGCCACTCTGGGTCGCGCGCAGTTTCTCGAGCTGGCGTCTCTGATCCTGTGTTCTTCCTGAGAAGCCATGGATCCCTCTAAGCCAAGGAACCTTTGCATCGTCAACATCCTTCGCTTGCCACAGTTAACGACTAAACTAATCAGGGATGTATAACCATATTGGACTTACAGCAGTAAGGGGTACCGCCGACTTATTACCGTACGACTAAACATATCAGCGGTACCCCTACTGACAAGCCTCTAATTCGGTTCTATTCAGCTTCAGTACCTTGGTAAGACTGCAGACTCGAGACGATAATCTGCTTGCCTGCTACCTGGAGTATCTGCACATTTGGGGGTGTATTCTTGTGGGAAAACCCAACCTTTGGTTTGGTTTGAAGGGACACCACCTGTTTTGGGCGGTTCCCCCCTTTGACACATGCCTAGAACAATCAACTGGATTGTTCGGGGGTGTTTCCCTGTTGAAGGATTCTGACAAAAAATTGGGACAACTGACAAAAGCTCGCCTCTTAGGGCATTCGGAAAGCTCTTTCATCCCGTGAAGAACACTTAACCTCCATAAGTCCCCTGGAAAAAACTAAAAATACAAATAAAATGTCCAGTAGTGATAGATTCCCTTTTAAAATCAACAGGGGGGAAAAAAACTTAACCAAACGGAAGTCAAACCAGCTACCACAAAACGGAGGTCTTCAAAAAGGCGAACGAAAGAGCCACCAAGCTGCGCGCGATTCGCCGCTGGTGCACGGCCGGCATCGATTTCCACGCTCCGGGCCCAGTGAATGTGTCGCGCGTCAAGGCGAATTTCGATGCCAAAAAGGCCGAGGTGAAAGGCGACGATGCCAGGCCCTTAAACTAAACCCTGGTCCGAGATAATAAAAGGAGAGAAGTCCATCTCCTGTCATCCGACGACGACACATGGAACGGAAGATTCTCCGAGTCCTTGTTGGATTCTAGGAACAGGGCCAGGGTGCTTCCATATGGTCCTCCAATAGGTCATGGTTCTCTTCCAGGCACCTCCCAATGGCTGGGGGCCTTTGCCTAATGGCCTCAAGGCTCACTACACCCCCGGCTTCAGCCTGGCACTGGTTCTCTCAACCTTCATAGCAACCTATTCGAGGTCGGGTATCAAATTACCATATGGAATGCACCATGCAAGGGGCAAACAGGTTGCCATGAAGGGTGAATCTGGAAAGGGCCACTTGGATGCTTAGAGGAAAATTGCACGTAGGCTTCTAAATGAACCCCACATGAAAACCGCCCAGCTTGAGTTTCCCCTATTTGAGGGCAACTCCTTTTAGCGGCGATTCTCTCTTTGCAGCACCGATGCAATTGAGGGCCTTTCATCTCTTGAACTCCCAGCCCTGCCTCGCTCCTCGACTCATGGCAGCATCTCAAACAAGGGCCCCTCCCCTTCAGGATGATAAAGGCAGGCCTTAGCGAAACCAAACCAAAGAAAACACACACCCATCTTTTGACCCCAGGATGAATCACCCTCTGATTGAAGCCGAAAAAGCAACCAACAGGCTAAAAAGCCAACTCTTGCTGGTTGAAAGTGAAATGATGGAAAGCCAAACAGGTTTTGAGCAACAACCTCCGGCTTGCGCGCGCTAAGTCCACCTCGGCCGTCTTGGACACATCGGGGACTCCAGTGGCTGACCCCTCCAGTAGCTGACCCCTCGGCCAGCCATGCCGTTTGGCAGATTCGGAACGGAAATGGATCGAACAATAAGTGGGGCGGAAGCAGGGAATGGCTTTCACCTGCCAAAAAGAGTTGCCACGAAACCCTTGGCCACTAAGTCTCCATGGGTTCTCAACAATATATTCTCCAGAAACATGGCGTTCAACAAAATGACAAGTGACTCGACCTGAGGTCTTGGCTTGCAGAATGGACCCTTCATGGACCCTAATGCCGCACAGCCCACCGCCTGCAATTGAGGACTCGGTGGCTGAATCTAGCCTTGCCTAAGAAATCCTGAGCAAGACCTTCACTTGTGGGGTGGGGGTCTTTGCCTTTGTATGACCATTCACCACGCCGAAATATGAACTGCAAAGAGATTCACCGTTTCATTCTGGGTGAGGTCGCAAACACCTGCGATTCGCCGCTTTTTTGCTAAGACTGGCCCGTTTCGCGGAAAAAAAAAGAGAGAAACGGGCCCAAGGTGTCTTGATTGAAGCCGCTGGCCTCGGCCAGCGGAAGAAGATCAGGTTCCTAGGGTCCCAGAATGGAAACCGCCGAACTCGTTTGCTGAGTCAGGAAGCGGTATGGAAGCGCTGGACACATTCAGGATTTGAATGGTTTGCTGAAAAACCGGACACCCCCTGTTGAATCCACCCCTGTCAGAAGATGCCTGTTTTCGAGTTGCCACTAGAATGTTAGGTCTTCGCAAGGGACCCAAACAGCCTATGCTGTGGTTTGAACAGGGATTTGGGAACAAGTGGCACATATCCATCCCCTGACAGTTCCCCATGTGTTTGTTCATAACCCAACACTATAGAGCGCAACGCAAAGAAGCAGAATCTCTGCCCTGCTTCCCCCCTCGAGGCCAGGGAGACACGGGAATCTAATTGGTAGCAGGTCACAGTGCCAAGCACTGAGCGGGGCAACTTTCAACTGGCCACTGCCAGCTACCATCTGCCCAAAGTCAACGGTTTTAGTGGGATATGCCATCAATCCCTCTAATTTCATGCTGTGGATGGACGAAATCCTGCACCCTGGAATGATGATTCTCCTGTAAATACCAAAAAACAATGGTGTCCCATGGTTTTAAAGTGGTGCAGGATTTCGTCCATTTACAGTATGTAAAAAGCTGATCCGTGGCCAAAGCTGGATCTGCCATAAATCCCATACATCTCTATCCAAAAAAGCTGAGGGAGTGGCACTGGGAAGCGAGTGGGATGCTCCCATTCGAATCTGGGTCCCCAATCTCTACGCGTGGGCCCCATGGAGAGCGTTTTGAGGGGGGGGCTTGCACAGATCTACAGAAAGTTCAAAGACTCCTAGCTGTTTGATCGTCAGGCCGGTAAGTGGCTCCCTTTGAACCCTTTGGAAATAGAGCCGTGTAGAACTTGTGAATGGAACATTGCTCGTTTCAAGTCCGTCAATGGCAGAAGAATGTCCATGGCCATAGCCTGTCGACCTACTTTGTGGCAGCAACACATAACATAAAAATCGAGTAGATCCAAAGGAGAAACGACGCAGCACGTGCTGCCCGGGTTGATCCTATTCCTAGCATGATGTCCACATGCGCAAGGCGGTTAACTACTTTGGGCGACTCAAATACCTGACGTGATGGTTTCTCGCTTCGGCAACAATTCGCAGTATGTGTGAGGCATATTGATGCTGTTCGAGGCCGAAAACCTAAAAAGTTTACCTTTTTGTTGGTCAGTGGGAAAAAATCCTGCTATGCTCTCAAAAAGTAAAAGCTTGAAGATCATGCTCCTTAAAATTGATTGAAAAGAAAGTTGGACCCGCTAGAATGTAGCGTAGCCCTTTCCACTGGTTTATCAAAGAGCTGCCAACAAAAGACGAGCTCAGGCCGTAGGGTCCAGCCAAAAGTCGCCCCGGGCAAAAACGTGGCCGTCTGCCAAACCTCCGGGAGCTGTCTACAGCCTAGAGTTTAAGGCAAGGAACCGCCAGAGGTTTGGGACGTAGGCGGAAACCCCGGAACTTTGAACATACCGTCGGGCAGTGAGCTTCCGGGAAAGACCCGAAGCTTCAGAAGCCTTCCGGAAGGCTGAAGTACCCAGACCCCTAGGGCGCTTTTGGGGGGGCACTTATCCCCAAGGTAGAAATCACAAGTCACGGGACTCCCCTAAAAGTGGGGATTCTACACGAGGATGGGGGGTCTATGGTGGCATACTCTCAATGTAAATGATGACACCAAGCAAAAAACAATTATTATACTGGGGGGACATGCATAGTGATATCATTGGTTTGGCGTGGGCTATGTCCTATCGGTTTTGCTGGTGATTGGCATTGATTTTGGGTAGTCAAGGTAGTCCCCCATCGATATTAATATGTTGTAGTAGTGTCGGGCATTCATGTGAGGTCAAAGACAAGAGTCCGAAACTTGGTCCCTGACAAGAAAAAATGGAAACCGTATACCTGTGGCTCCAAAAGGCGCCAAGGGCAAACTCCAAATTTGAAAGCTCCTCGGATCCCTCTCCAAGCAAATCCATGTATCCTTTAGTTCTTGATCTTGGAGCAACTTAACCCCGCCTTGACCCGATGGCCAGAAAAGGTTCGGACCTGCTGGCTGACGATAAAGAACCCCACCAACAAGTTTAAAGCTTGGCAACTGTTGCAAGTTTGTTTTTCACATGGGACCGTGGAAGACT